CACGTGTAGGTCAAGCAAATTTTGAAGCAGTTTAGACAAAAGTTTATGGGTAAATCTTAAACAAAAAGATATTTTATATTATTTACTATATTAGCATTATACATGATTGTATTATATTTGCGATTGATATACTATGTATTTCTTTATTTTTACATAGTTATTATTATAAAATTACGTATTGCATCCATTATGTGTCTAGAAAAATTTCAAGCATCAGTTTTTTGTCTTCTCCAAATCTTTTTGTTTGAGCAATGGTCGATGTTTCCAAATGGTCTTAATCCCTTTGTGATTCATTGGAGTTTAGATGTGTCTTCAGAGTTTTATGTAAGAGCCTTAGGTGTCTCAGCTGGTTTAGAAGTGATTACACGATAAGCTATTTTGTATATAATTATATGGATAAATTTACATAATAAGAAAGACAGTTGACGAATTTTGGTGTTTTGGCAAATTTATGAATACACATGACAATAAATCAACAAGTAAAAACATTAATATGATTGGTAATTATTTTTTAAAGATGTAATAAAACACATGATTATTTTTGTGATTTAAAGGCATTGTAATGAAACTTATGATTAAATACAGTATATTATAATTGATAATGAAAAAAATACATAATGAAATGATGACTAAGGAAGGAATTCTTCTTTCAAGCCAATTGAAAAAATTATAATTGAAAGTAATACGACTATATCCAAGGCTTCGATAAAAAATGCTTTCGAGATTTTATTTAACAAGCAATATAGAAATAGACTATATCGAAAAAGGAAAAATGACAATACTAAATATAACCAAAGTGGTATTACAGTATATTTCAATAAATAGTTATTATATTATTTTTTAACATTATACAGGTCACTCCCGTTATAAGGACACTCGCGGGACAGACAAAAAATGTCCGTATAACGAGATTGTTCTTATAACGGGAGTTCATATAAAATCACATGACTTGAAAAATGATTATAAAATTTTTTTAGAAATTATTAATTATTTTAAAATCAACAATTTAGCAAAAGTTTATAATCATAATACTGTATACAGGTCACTCCCGTTATAAGGACACTCGCGGGACAGACAAAAAATGTCCGTATCAGTCGTGTGACATGTCCTTTCAAATTATTTTCTATCAGTCGTGTGACATGTCCTTTCAAATTATTTTCTATATTAAATAAAAAATTTCTAATTCGTGTCACATGAATTT